TGTAATGTGCATGATTTAGTAGTATACTATAAATGACAACAAGATTGGAGACATTGTAATGGGGATTTAGTGGTTTTATTAGAGTTTCCCCATGATTTTGGCATAGTGTTTCATATACTATACAAAAAGAATTTTAATTTTTTCAAATAGATATACATATTCTTTTGTTGTACAAAAAATTTGAGCTGATTCCAAGAAAATAGTTTTTTATGATGCTAAAAAATTGGGCCAAAGACCTCCACCAAGTATTCAAGCATAGCTAGCCTAACTAGGTAAAAAAAATTGCTTGCTTTTCCCAGTTCTGAGATCTGAGCATGCGCAACCACACCCAAATTTTGGAGCCACTGAGGGCTGCCAATAGGGGGGGGGGGCAGGTGGGGCATTTTGCCCCGGGCCCCCAATCAATAGGGGGCCCCAAGCACCTGGTCAGTAGTAAAGTATGCATAGTTTTTCACAGAAAAAGATCAAAGAATCATGACAACTTTTTAAAGTTAACTCTTGCTGGGCCATTTTGTTAATCGCTGTTATTAATAAGGGGGAAGATTTGTATTAGTAGGGGCCCCATCAAAGTTTTTGCCCTGGGCCCCACATAGCCTATTGGCGTAGTCTCGCGTATTGGCGGCCCTGTTTGGAGCACATGCTTTTTAAATAAACAAAATGGCGGCATGAGGTAAGTTGATACGATCCAATACTCACAGTATCACTTCTTCCTTTCTTGGAGAATGATTCTAGGGGACAAGGACCTGTGCATACCCTATTGGAGTAGAATGGTGTAAGAATTAGCCTTCTATCATTAGCCAAGATTGGGATATTGACCGACGACTGGATTGACAGGACTTTCCTGATGATGAAAAAAATATAGCTGAACAAAACAGCCATTTTGCCGAATTTTGACTTTCCTCTCAGACAATGTTTAGAGGCTTGCTAGTGGTACCAATGGAGTCCTCTGGTCAAGATAAGGCCCTCTAAGAAGTCTGGTAGGCATAGGAGCTTGTTTCCTCGGTATAGCAAGCAACTAGCAAGGCTGCAAAAGTCGTCAGTGGCAGCCATTTTGAAATGGGGTGAATCCTACTTAGTAACACTACCACATTACTAATATTGTATTGCTTGTCAGCCTATCAGCTCATGACATGTATTGGCCACAGATCTGTAAAATTAAAATTTTCCAATCACAAAATATTATCAGAAAATCCCCCTTAAAATACTCGCTATAATAATTTTTTATTATTTTCAAACAATAAAATCTCTAAATTTTGTTTTTTTTAAATAGCTGTATTCATAATGATATTATTAAATACATTTATGTAGGTTTTAATATCACTGAAATGTATATAACAAGTGGGTCTCGAAGTCTGTGTGCTTTGGATGAGTGCAGTCAGTGTGAAAAATCACTTAAAAATTGTAAAAATAATGTTAATCATAGTCTTTATTTACTACTTCCATTTTTGTAGACAGAATTATTACAGGATCTCTCAGTTCACTGCTTTTATTCAGTGTCGTTGTATTTCTTATTATAGTCATTTGGTTCTGTTGTAGAAAGAAATGCTGCTGTTGCTGCAGAAAAGATTATGCAAATCTTCCTGATCATCATGTTAGATATCGAGTAGATGGTGACAGAAATGATGATTGAGATGTGAATTTTCTCTCTATATTTAATTAAATAATTTTTTACCCGTGATATATATGAAATTGATTTAATTATACTAGATTTATTTTGTATTACTTTTATAAAACACTGTTATTTGTATTAGTTTAATTGAACACTGTATCTAAAAACAAAATTAGGATACATTGACTATTACTGGTACTGGCTATACTGATATATATCAAGATGATGTTTGTATAAATGAAACTTATGGAGATGTCTGTTCTGATGGAATCGCTCATGATATTGCTTTATTATTCTGTCGTTCACAAGGTATGATAATAATGCATTATACTGATATAATGGATCTTATATTATTTAATATTTTAAAAAATTATCACCACAGCTTGTGTATCATACAGTTACACTAATAGAACCTACTCTTTTAATGATAATGATTATGCTGCCTTTAATTTTTCATTATGTTGATTCAATCTCATCATGCTATGATAATATTAGTGTAATTAAAACTTAAAAACCGTTCCAAGGTATATGGTGAAATCTTAATTGTAAGTCTCATATCATATAACCAAACTATAGTGAGGGTATTACAACCTTATTATTATTTTTTTTTAATTTTGGACCACAAAAGAGCTTGAGCATATCAAAATTTCTGCTTGTTTGCTTTGCAAGTTTAATGAAAATTACAGTATAAAGCTCTACCTGTGAAAATAAATGTGCATTTACAAAAATACGTAATTGTTATTATAAAATAATG